ACTTGTTACTAGAAGCGTGGCACTTGTTCCTAGTAGCGAACATTGTTGGCTGGGGGTTGGGATGAATGTCTTTTCAGTGGGTGTTGTTTGTTCCTATTCTCAAGGGGCGGAGTGTTTGTTCGAAGGTTGCTCGCAACTTGTGAGGGTTCTCAGTAAGAGTGGGAAAGCGCGTGCCTTAGATCGCGAGGCTGATATTTCTGTAGAGCTGGGTGGATTGCTGATACCGATAACAACACTTTAGCGACTGCATAGTGCTTTTCTCTAACTTGATTCCTCAACGTGAACCGAACCACCACGTCTCGGCGCTTGGGAGGTGGTTCAGGGGATGAGAAAGCTTGTTTCCGCAGGGTTCGCACAGATTCCTCTCACACCACGCCCACCACACAGGTGGTCATTCCAGATCGTAGGCGTGTGCTGATGAGTCGTGCGCCTGAGGCCCGCGTGCCTTGCGCTGCAAGAACAGCTCAGTTTGATGGGCGTTCACCCAGAGGAACCTGGGATTGGTGCTTACCCGTGTTTGTTTTGGGGGTTCGGGCAGGAAGACCTTGTCCCATACTCAATCCGTACACCACAACTTACAGGAAGACTTCAGGAAATAAGTGACATCCTGCCTTTGCGCTGACAAACGAACGAACCGCGGCCACAAGACCTGCTCACAATCTACAGTAATTGTTTTTTTGGGGGGGCATTTGTGGGTTTGCAAGGAAATATACTGTAAGTGTCTTGGATGAAGAGAGGTTGAAGTGTCTTCAGGATTGAATCGGTTCATGGTGCTTTTGGGAGTGCTTCTTTGTGGTTCAGGGACGCGCCGATATGCCGATATCTCGGGATAATGGGACGTTCGTCGGTGTGCTGGTGCAGCGCAGATTCGCCAAGTCTTTCGATGGAAGGGACTGACATGTTTCGACAGTTTTCACTGGATATGACTGAAAATCCAGTGTGGCTCACAGAAAAGCAGAGTATGTATTGGAACTCGGTTCTTATCCCTTTTGGAACCTTTTTACAGAAACCATTGAAATTCGTCACAGGATGTTTGCCAAGTTTCTTTTCCATGCCAAACCTTAAAGCCTCTTAGACTGCAGATGGATAGGTGGGCAGACTCGATGTAACAAACACTGGATGTGTTCATTCTTTTTCTGGCCATTCGCTCCCTGCGTGCAGGAAGATTTGATGCTGGCGCTTGCTGACATGAGGGGCGATGTCACGTTGTACTCATACTAGAATTGGTGTGTGGCGGAGAAATGAAGAGAACCTGCGATGCAAAAAAAACTCTATTCATTGGATTTCATTGGTACGTAGACCCATAATAGAGCTCTCCTTTCAGTGTGTGTGTGTGCAAAACTGGGACTCGGGGGCAGTAGATCGCAGAATTGGCACCATCGGGCCTGGGTCAGTTGCTTCTTGAGACACTAGCGGAGCCGAGATTTGTGGCTGACAAGCTGATATGGTTTCCCCTACAGCCAGAACGGTTTTAGGATCCTCGTGGGCTGGGACTTACTAAGCAAAGGTGTTGCAAATTGATCGTTTCGTTTCACAGTTATAGTTATTTGGTTGTTTTCACTTGCCATGTCTAGAGAAAACCTTGGCTCCACATGACGGCCCGCACTTTGTCTACAGTGTTTGTCTCACTTTAAGGATCAGCAGCTTCGGATGCTTCGGGGGATGGGCAATGAATGCTTCACGTAAGGACAACGGAACTCTAATCACCCCACGAGCGTCCATGGGTGGCCCCATCAGCGCGCTCTCTTTGCTGGGCCCACAAGTAAATACAAGTTTGCCACATTCCAACCTTGCGGCCGGGGTACAACTGCGCGTGCCTTTTGGTTTCCGCCTTATTTTGCTTGTTACCCCCGCTAGCGCAAAGATGGAAGAGAAGCCAGTTAGCTTGCTAGACAGGCTTTCACAGCCAGGTCGGATGGAGCTTGACAGTGTTGACACGATGAAATCCACGCCACACCCAGAGAAAAAGGATTGCTTGATTAGCATACCTGTTGCCGTGTTGTCTGCGCGCGTGGCAAAAAAAGGCTTTGGTTTCGATGGAAAATTGGGATACGGATGGAGGTGAGTGGTTCAATTTGTGGGGAGTATTCAGGGCCAGGGATGCTTGAAGAGATGTTTCATGTTGTTTGCTGAAAGTGCAAGTCCAAATGTGAGACCTCAGGCTGCTTCAAGAGTCGATGCGCTGCCCACGGTATGTGAAGAAACACCCACTTCACCACCGGCTTGTAAATGAAAACAATTAGACATAATTAGACTTTTTGATGGTTCCACAGGTTCGAGCTTAGAGTCTATACGTGTATGTAAACCTATATAATTATATATATTATACTGGAATGGTTTTTGGGATATTCAATTCAGGAGTGGCAACTGTGTCTCTATATCACTTGTTAAAGCCCTTTATATCCGGCCAGGGGCGACGAGTGTCCTGCCGGTAAGGCACTTCTCCTTCTGCGAAGCAGAAAGCGTAGCCGACCCCAGGTGCGGGACCCAGTTTTTTTGTTTTTTTTTCGCGCTTGTTGCTCACGATGGGTCAACATAGCCCCACATAGGCCCAAATAATGCTGGAAATGCGTGCCGCACCGGTGTGCTTCATCTGCATCGTGGGCGGATGTTTGGCCGATGTTGGCACTGCGTTGCCCCATTTTGGCGTTTCTTGGCCCATCTCGGGGCTATGTTGGGCCCATGTTGAGCCTATGTTGGCCCGAGCCTATGTTGGCCCATCTTGGCGCTATCTTGGGCTATGTTGGCCCAGCTTGTCATATATGTTGACGCGCACGACAACAGCAACAATCACAGCCACACCGCCAACAACACCATCACCAACAACCACAACAACAGCCACGACCGCGGCTTTCGCCCCCCCGAGCCCCCTGACTTGACGCCCCTGGCCGGCTGTCGGGCGTAAGCCCTCAATACGTTTATCAGTTTTTTGGTATGAACTTATATGTTTTGTTTCTATACTTTATATGCTTTCATTGTATAAAAGTATTGTTTAGCATTTGTTACTAATTGCTGTGTGTTGCATCGATGTTCATTGCTATGATGTAGACTTTAAAGGCTTACGTTTCAATTCAGAAGTCGAAGGTCACAGATGACTTGGTCCTTGCTTGTAAAAGACAGTGCGCCCGAAGAGCGCGCAGGATCTGTGACTCGGCGAGCAACATCACGGACGGCATGAGTAAGGTTGTAGTAGAACAACTGTGTTTGGGGTGAAGACCCCTTCAGTGGAAATGGCTTGCGAGGTTCCTCTGTGCTTCGTGTTGTGCAAGTCACGGGACTGCAAGCAGGGGCCGGGTGTGGGAGGGTCACATGCAGTTGAAGACCTCGGGCAAGCGCTCTCTCGAACTCGGCGGCCGAAGTCCTTGGAGTTGGCTTTGGTAGTCGTCTGTCCGGAGAAGGTCCGTAGGCGTCAGTTAGCTAGTAGAAACATGCTAAGTAAACATGGTATCGTTCACGAACTGCAGTGCCAACCCGGTGGGCCAAGATACGAGATATCTGCTTTCTTGGCAGCAGACTTCGGAAGTCAGCTTTGGATAGCCTCCCACGAACCTAGGCAGGAGGGCAGAAGTCATGGCCCTGCACCCGTGAGAGAAGCAAGAATCCCAGTCCAAGACACCAAAGCAACTACACGTACATGGGTGGTTTTGCAACACTTGACGCATGTCACACGCTTGTAAAAGTGTAGTGGGTTCGGCGGGCGACAGGTGCTAGGTGTCCTGCTGGGGTCTTGCTCGAAGATGGGGAATACAATCGGTCCGTGGTCACAGGCATATAGGTTGAGACCTGGGCACACCAAACTGGACAGTTGCATGCTCAGCTGCTGGCGGTATTTTTAACAGTCACCCAACGCAAGCCATATTCCTGCCATGTACTGTACAGTCGAATTCCTGTGTTGATCATGCATAGAGTCAAACTGCACGGGACTTGTGATGTTCTTCTCGATCTGGTTGCTTTCCTTACTCTTTGTTCCTCTCTTCACTCTTGTTGTTCTCCTCAGTCTTGCTGCTGGTGGTCTTAGTCTTTATGGTCAGGCCCTGCTGGTCGTGCATCCATCACTCTCTGGAGCTGCCTGTTCGCCAAGCGATCTCGTGCTTGCGCATTCACATTATCCACCAGCATCAGTTGGACCACACGGAGAAGAGCTTGTCTAGCTGTTCGCCCAGCTGTTTTGGCAAAGCTCCGCCCATGATACTTTTGTGGGATTTGTGTAGTAGTTGTTCACTGCATTTTGTGCATTGTTTTTGACACAGTACGGTTTGCTTGAAAGGTCTCACCAGTCTCGATGTCCTCTCCTATATTCTTTCTGCACATCAACCTAACCGAAAAAAAGCAAAGAAGACATTGCCGCTAGCTGCCAACTGTGCTAGCAGACGTCATTCATGCTCGTGGTTGTTTTTCTTCTCCCGATTGCATCGTGTAGCTCCTAAAGGTATACGGTATACACCTAGATTTATCTGTACACGCGGTGGATTTGCAACTGGCCATCTTGGAAGCCTATATATCTTGCAAAAGGTTTGCACTCTTGCCTCGCTTCCTAGTACTGCTTGCATTTTTCGCAAGGCAAAAGCTCTACTGCCCGACCTTCCTTCACAAAGCGGTGCGAAGCAGTATGAAGAACTTTGCTGCCCTTGCAATGAAAGTTCCATCCTGCTCAGAGTAAGCCCTCTCCTTGCCCAACCCATATGTCTTCACACGTTGGTATTGGACATAGAGCGCCCACATCAAATGGCATTCAGAACCATCAACAGCGCCAAGCCCCCGAGAGCAAAGTACCCAAGCATGGCAGCAGTTGGTCTCAAATCTATATATACGTAAAGATTTGAGCTTGAACAGCTATAATGCAGACATAGAGCACGCAGGCAAGCGCCCCAATCTATGCGGCAATTGAATATCCTTCATATTCTAACTGGATGTACTGCTTGTAGTCTAACTGGGGCCAGCAACGTTCTTTCAGCATGCCCTTAGCATATGACAATTTCAAGAAACTTGAAAAAGTCCATATTCTAAGTGCTAGCAACTTACGATAGATATAGTTCGGTGTGTATTTGTATACGTATTTGTATATATACACAGGCTGCCTTGAATGAATATCCCAAAACCATGAAAGTGCTAATATTTTCGCCTGGTGCCGATGTCCTACCCAGTATATTAATAGAGTTTGTGTTTTTGACGGGTTATTTGGTCATCTTTGGGGCAGCTTTAGGTACGACCATGGGGCCATGGAAAATGTATCAGAAGTGACCTTCTTTCACCCCAGAATCAAGACATGGTGTGCTGCTTCGGTTAGTGAAGAATCACATACTTCATTCTGGGTTGCGGTTGGAGTGCTCCGCAGACTGTCCAGCAAACTCAAGGTCAGATTACCAGCCTTCGACAGGTCGTAAGGTCGGATAGCCGTGAGCAGATGTAAGGGCTAATTCAGTTTGATTTTGACCTTTTCCTGCATTGGTGAATTTTACCAATGTCACAAGATGATCCAGCCATGCTAGTTTTCACTTCGTCCAAAGATTTGTAGGCAAGCGGATTCTTTGAGTTTTTCATCTCTCTTACAAATTCCTGGTGCTGGTTTCTCCGAGTTTAGTTGGTTCTGAGGTGTTCCGCAAAGAAGGTGGGCAATTGGTCATTATGACTTATGACTTGTTGATAAAACTGGGTGACTAGTCCTTAGCACCCTTTTGAGGTAGGTCAAGGCACGTCATGTACTCGGAGGTTTTCTCCCGGAATCCATCCATACGACTTGTCACTCGTTGGACCGTGGCCAGTGACGACCATTGGGCGCCATTTGATCGTGTCCAAGCCCAGCCCTGCACCGCGGCTCCAGACGGCTCCAGATTTTGAAAGACCTGGAGACCCACTCAATAAATTTCAGCAACTTCAAGTCGCCTGTTCAAACTTCAAGTGCAAAAGTTCCCGCTCCCACAAATGCACGAACACAGTGGCATGGCTGTCGGTTGAAGAAGGGATTCGGAAACAAAAGAATACCTGCATTGACTTGATCCGATGCTTTGGGACAGGTGGGGTTTCAGTCATGACTCATGACGAGCACAGCCCCTCAGTCATTGGACCCCACAAAGCCCCTCAGCGTGCTGGATGACAAAGCCACATGTTCCCGGGAAGAAAACGAAGCAGTTGTGGGGCTACAAACGGTTTGGCGAACAAAAAACATACATGCAGGGCGAACCTGTCCAAACGAAAGCATCCAGTCCAAGTATTAGTAACACTCCAGTCCCGCAAGTCAAACCTACATCGATTTTCACTTCACAGATGTGTCGTTTGCGCTCGTGAGCCGTTCAGCGATTTTTCCGAAAATCCATCTCCGCCCATGGCCATGTCTCGCTCGAAGAAGTGCCTTCAGGTGGGGGGTCGGAGTCACCCCATCGCGTCACCGGTGACGAGGAGTGTGGAGTAGAGTTCACCGTTTTTCCCGTTGTATGTAGATCAATTTGGTTTGTTTGGTCAGCCCTTGTTCAGTCTCCAAGAAGAAATGTGCGTTTCTGATGTGTTTGCACGTTTTGGCATGCTGGTGTCCTTGTGTGTACAAGCGGTTGTGCCAGATGTTGCTGATATGCGCTGGCGGTTTACTGTGAAATGTGTATCTTCAGCAGTGTTTGTCTCCACACTAGCTGGCAGCTGCCAGAAGTTATCACAGAACGTCCGTGGCACGAAGTTATCATGACAGTCAAACAGTCCTCGTCCCAAAGAGACATCGAAGCTCCGTTCTTTGCCTTCTGGAAACACAGCCATCGGCGGCTCATCTCGTTCGGCCCAACACCGAGAGACGTGAAACGTCACCTCTCTGGGCACAATCGGCGATTGCCGTCCGGTCGTTCAGGGTGAAACCATCCGATCTGATAGGTTATGAGAGGAAAGCTAGGCCGCTATAGGCCGCTGCAACGACCGCGTGGTTCAGAGCTTACTTGAGGTGGGTTCCTTCTGCAGGTGACTTTGTGTCCGGTGTGGTGTGGTTCAAAAGGTGTTACGCACTAGGTGCAGCTACCCTTGCATTGCAGGCCATTGATCCATATATTCACCTGAGATCACCTGGTTGTACTGATGACGCCCGCCTGTACTTCATCCTTTTGCGGAGGTGTCGTGAGGCCACTTTTCCCTGGCAGAAGAGTGCGCAGTACTATGCAGTACTCTTGTTTTCAAGTCCAGCACCACTTGCAATACCGATACCAGCAAATTACCAAATGGCTGGTCACCTTTGTCAAGATAAAACACGCTGGTCACGCTAGGTGGCTTGCCTTTCGATACCCAAAGGCCTCCCTCAGCCGTCCCAGTTGCTTTCCACTGTCCTGCAGGCGCTGCTGCTGGCAGTTGCCTGGCATTGGACCTGCACCTGGCGCGGTTCCCCAGGGGATGACGTAAATCGACAGCATGAGATGCTGTAATGTAGAATCTTGATCTATAGGTGACGGTTTCTGATACTTTCTGATATGTTTACTCTATAGTCTATACTTTAAAACTTTACTTGGGATGAGTTGAACTTCCTGACTATATTCTTCAAGTGAGTTGAAACCACCAACCAGTGATAAAACCCTCCCAATTGAACTGTAACGCCTCTCCATATGGGGGTTTTATTCGTCAAGATTCCACATTACCGCCTAGAAAACAATATGTTGTTTCTGGTGTCACTTCACATTTGGGCATGGCTACTGTTATGACTCTTGTCTTGGGCCACGCAAACTGGCGACCGCCAGTTCTCCACTTGCAGTGGCCAAAGGAAACCGTTGTGGAGTTGGATGTAACATGCAGATATGGAGCACTGTGGCTGACCAGTAAGACTGAAGTTCTCACATGGACTAGCAGTTACATGTTTTAAAAACTAGAGTTGCGTCTCCAAACTATAAGATGTATTGATTAGAATGTAAAGTTGCCAGAGTCAATAGTGCCTTTTGTCGGATCTGTCCAACACTGAAAACGACTCTGCAGGCATGTCGATCGAGAATTCACTGAAAAAAATGCGGATCTCCTACCTCGTTAGTGGTGAAAGACTTCTTTCTTGATCAGACATATCGCTTTTCTTTTAAATGATTTTAATATAGAATCCAGTCTCTAGATAGACTATAATAGAATGTATGTAAAACAATCCAAAGAGCAATGGACTTGAACAGAGGTCACCATGGTTCCAATGTAGGGTTCCTTCCCTTCGGCAAGAGCTGTTCCTCTACAGCTGAAGCAAACCTGCTTGGAACTTGAGATGGAGCAAGAATTCCAAGTATTTGGGGAATCCATGGGAATCCCAGATCTTCTGATTTCCCCAGAACAAGGGTCTTAGTGGACCATGTGGACCTGAAAAGCGGCGGCGACTCCGGGGCAAACCCTCCAGATCCAACCGAGCCTTGGGTGACCGGGGCGATCAACGTAGGGGGGATACTATTAGTGCCCTTTTTCGGGAAGCCATCCTTGACTTGGCACTCTACTTAGGGAAAAAAAAAATGAAACCGCAGATTTAAACATACAAAAAAAGAAAACATATTCAGATTCATACATATTCTAGAAATATGAAATCGGTCTACGTGAGGTTTCTCGCACTCCGTCCAGCGCCGCACTCCGTTGTCACAAGGTGCTCTCCTGGCCGCGCCCGCGCCCGTTGGGTCAAGGCGGGGATCCCCGACAAAACGAGTCTGGGACGGCTCAAACGGTTGCATTTGGTTTGGTGTCCCTTCTACTGACGTCTAGCGTCTATCTAGCGTCTACTGGGCTGAACCGAACACGGTCAAAACACAGGGCGTCAATGGCAGAAATCCAAATAGACTCTGCCAATTGAATAAGAATGAGTTTCTGACCAGCAACAACTATGCACATACCGGTGGCTGGCGGCTAAGTCCCAGCCAGTGGCAAATAAGGCCATTTTTTGGAAGGAACACTGCAGTGGCGCAGCCCGTCTTGCGAGCAGCAAGGTGCACGGCTGCACAAATCTTGTGAATGATTGACAAGCCTGACAGCACTGTTAGTGGTTACGGCTTTCAACTTGCAGCAGCAGATGTGACGCATGCCTCATGGACGGCATCAACGAGGTTTGGGTTGGGACGGAATGCCACCACTCCACGAGTAGAGTGATAATGATACAATGATACTGCACTCATGCGTATGTTCGAGATCATGAGCCCAATCAACAAGTGCATGACATCCATAGTTGAATATGTTCCAGGGACAGGAAGCGTGCTCATGGCCGCTGCCCCTTGCGCAGCTGCATTGATCAGTATGTATCACGATGTCCCGTGTTAAGCTTGCAAGGTAAGCCGCTTTCTTGGGTCATGAGGATGTTCTGGGCACGGAGGCAGCTTTCTGAAGGCGCTCCTCTTCTCCGAGTGGACGGATACTGTTCGTGCTGGACAGCATGCTGACTGCGATAAGTGGCAGATTGATAGCATGTCCCAGGAATGGCCACCTGGAAATGAGGAGCCATGTTGGGACCCTGAAGCGGTGGCTCCAGAGTGGCCATGTGGTACGTCCCATTGCTCACCAAAGGGGATCGGTGTCGATGTGTCCACGCATCCTTAAGGAGTGTAGAGATATGTAGAGATACGGTCAGGATGCCATACAATTCTCCGGTCATGTCAGCAGCTGTGCTGCCCTACTGCAAAACGCAAAAGACCGTCAGCAAACCAGCCAACCAAACTCACTGGACAAAACGAGTAGACTTTTCAGGGATGGAAAGGGCGCAACCAGGCAGCCTGCTACTTTTGATTCGTTGCTTCTTGAAGCTTTGCAGAAACCAGGATGTTTGCCCCGACGTGACTTTCTCGATTTGAAGCTGGTGGCCACTATTGGTCGAAGTAGAGGGAAAAAGAATGAAATCGCGTTGCAACGAGATGAAGCATGCAGCGTCCGGATTCGTTGGGAGTGGAAATGTTTGGAGTTTGAAGCGCTTCAGCGGTGCGTCTGACTGGCTCTTCATGTCCTCGTGAGTTGGAAGTTGTTCGCGTGTTGTTTTTTTTGTGTTCTTCTTAGCCTTTGTCGTGGAAGGGAGGGGATCGCAACTTGACCAATGGGATTTGTCACGTATTGTCCCCTGACGCCTGCCGTCTAGCAAATATATATCGCCGAAAAGGTGGTGCGTTCCTTTTTGCGAGATCTTTAAGTCTTGGCCGCTAGGCCGCCTCGGCTTGCAGGCCCTCACCGGACCGGACATAGCAATCCTTGCAGCTCTGCCAGCGAAACCACGTCGTGGGTCATTTGGCTGATCTCTCCAAAGCATTCTGTGCGGACATGAAAGATCTTCTGCGGCTTCCTGGCCTGCAACTGAGGACCTCAGGACTTGAGGGTCTTCGGTGCCCAAAACTTGATGGTTTGTGGCAACGGCTCCATGCCCAACTTCCAGTGCTTGACAAGTTTGGGTATTCCATCTTGATCTGGACACGACTTGCTCGGGTCTCTTTTCGGGTTAAGCTCCTCAATGGTGTTGAACGTGTTGTGGGCCCCCTAGCCCTGTAGCTTTCGGAGGCCGCAGCCATCCCTCACGTTGCCAGTCACCCAAGATTCTGTGAAGCCAGTCACATACATCCACAGTTGCCAGGGACGGTTGCATTAGCCCGTTCACCTGTCTTGGACACCAGGCGCAAACCTGCCATTCTTTCGTGTGTCGTGCATGGCATATCGGAGCTTTGGCGCGTCTCAGATCAGTTGCTCCTTCACACTTGAGATTCGGAGAAGATGCGCCTTGGCCACCGTGTTCTTGTGCCATCGTGTTTTGTCGAAGTGCTTCGGTTAGCGAGCTTTGGGGATACGAATATTATATATTATACATATATTCCCTTGATTGGTGCCTCATCAGCTTGCACAACAGTCAGATCCTTTCCCAAAGCCGCCTGGGAAGGAAGGACAGTTGGAGACACCGAATCCGCTGCTTGCTCTCTGGGGTATGAATACGACACCGGCTGGTGGTCGTCCCAACGGCTGCGTCCCTAGTCCCTATGGAGCACGTACAAATCATTGAGTGGCTGCATGTTCATCATGTCCCAATCAAGTCGGCCGTCACCCGTTGCTCTTCTTTTCCAGCCACCATGCTTCTCCCCGCGACTCGGGGTCCAGGGTGCAGCTGGAGATGGAATGGGTGCTGCACCCCGCGTCGGTCATGAATTCCTATCCATCGCCCAAGTCCATCCTGCGAGACCCCACATGGCCCGAGCGAGCGTTGTGTCCTTTCTCGACCCTGTCCCTGTCAGACCATCCGAATCTCCATCCGTGTCACGCTGCTACAGCGGAAAGATCATAGATGGGCCGCCCTTACTATGTGTTGCTTGATTAATAGAGGGAATACCCCGGGTCATGTACCACCAATATAGGTAAATGGTACATATTCCGACCCCGCTATTCTTCCCCTTCGGCCGCATTCTATTCGGCTTTGCCGACAGCGGGGGAGCGACACCGGCGGCAGCGCTGCGGCGACAGCCGAACATGGGTAACAACAATCCAGGTCCAGAGTCCAAACTGCAATTAAAGTAGGGGGTTCCGACATGAGTTGGTTATAGTTTGAGTCTGAGTCCTGTTTTTGTTGAGTCCGGCACTCAAGATGAGCAGCATCCAGCCTTCGAAGTCCAAGACGACGTTTTGGCTCCGGCCGAGGTCGCGCAGCCCACCAGACGCCACGCGGCGCGCAGTCTTCGGTTTTTCAGCGGAGAACGCGCGGGGTGCGGGCGGTGCACGGGTCCTCCATGCCCAAGCAACGCAGGATGCAAACACAGTGGCCGGAGAGCAGGGGGTGGGCAATGTTTCATGATGGATCGTTCACATATGTTTACTTGTGTTCACATAAAAGGATTCAAGTATCTATCGTCCCTGTACTAGTCCTTCAGTCTTCATCACCATCTCTGGCAAAGGTCCCTACTTGTACCAACACTCAGCAAAATGCAAGGGTGAGTTTGATCTCCCCAACATTTACCAGTTCAACGTCCACTTCAAACAACAACCATGCAAAAGGTGCTGAAGTCAGCATTGCATTGTTCTTCATGCACCAGGTGAACACGTGCACATACAATGTTGTGATGTTTCTCATTGTTTCTCTACAGTTTGCATTGGCATAAAAATAGACAAACACGGTAAAGACATTGCTTTCCCCTTTGGACCTTAGCATGAACAACAGCTGCGGTTATGATCCAACAGCATTTGTCGGTGCTGCTTTCGAAGCAAGAAAACCATGGGACTTCAGTGCTTTTTCCTTTCAAGGAACAACTGTGAGATGGAAATCTTCCAGATCCACAGTGCAAACTCTCGACATCTCTCGACCACATTGAAAGGACAGTTTTACCGTGGTCAGCAGTGTCATCATGTGTCGAACCGGCCCCGATGTCACCCACTGGGAAAGCCTGTGGAAACATGTTCCAATACATTTGTCGAATCATGCCTCAATGTTCTAGTTACTTTTTGGAAATGATTCATTGAAAAGTGAAAACCATGTTCGCAAAATCATGCAAAATCTAAAAGAAAACAATTGAAATTTGAAACGGGATCCTCCACTGAGAAAAAGGGACCTTCAGTCGTTTGCCGGATCCGTCTGGCCCCGCAGGCGGGAGACGACATGCCCATCCCTTCCAGCTCGAAGGAGAGCGTCAGAGGGAGACGGTTCAGCGACCGTTCACGGACGTAGAAGGGTGGAAAGACAGGGAGTGAACGGTTCAATTGAACAGGTCCAGAACCAAAATGCGGGTGCGTAACCGCGTATGCAATGGTCGACCAGAATCAAGTTTGGAACAGAGGAACTCAGAGTTCTGGGTGCCACATGGCGCCACATGGTTGCCACCAAAGTGATCCGATGTTCATTGCATTTCAGCCCCCGGCCAACAGCACTCGTGCCAATAACATGTCAAATAAATCAGTTATATATTATATTATATTATATTATATTGTATAATATTATATTATATTGTATTATATTATATTATATTATATTATATTAACACCACTGAAGTATTTTTCATGTGGGTTTACTGTAGTAAGTTTAGGATGGTTTTCGTGTCCTTTCGTCTTGAGTGTCCGAAGCTTTCAGGAGGACCAGTGGGAGCTCTTCTCCGAGTGGATGCGCGCCCGCGGTGCCAAGATGGAGAGCCCAGAGCGGTAGACGAAGAGCCCGGTGAGACACGGTTTCCTTCAAAACAGAAAGGCCGTTTTAGAAGGAAACCGTGTCTCGAACCGTTTTGACGGAAACCGTTTTCTATGGAGAGGAGGTGTACTTTTCTTGGCAAGAGGCTTTCTTCAAGCGATCGTCTTTTGGCGACGTGGCTTGTTTAAAGGCGAGGATGGATGAGGCAACAATGCATTGAACAGACTCAACCAACCTGAGGGCAGTTCTTCGGCTTTGCTGATGCAAGTACACACTTGTAGCGTGCTAGCTGAGTTTTTCTTTGATTTAGCAATTTCGTGCCTCAAAGCTTGATCAAGCTCAAGCTAAAGGAGGGGGGTTGTAGATACACCGCCCTTCGGGGGTTGAGCTCAGGGATACATGGGAGAGGACACACTTCAGATGCCAATGTTCTCCTTGACCCAATATGTTACCCCAAGAAAGAGTACTGAAACAAACGTGTCCGTCAGAGGTCCTCTTTGCGTGGTTTGAGGAGGTTTTTTCGGACACCTGCTTCAAGACATCGATGATATTGATGCATAATTACACAACGAAGAACCACTGCGTTGATTTGCTGCTGCTGCTGCTGCTGCCGCCGCTGGATTGCTGGCGTACTATAGTTTTGCTTGTTTTCTGGAAGCAAGCTCAGGGGTCGTTTCTGGCAATGCCTTGTAGACGTTGGTTCCGCTTTGCTGCTGTTGTGCTGCTGTTTTGCTGCTGTTGGTTTGCTGCTGGTGTGCTGCTGGGCTGCTGCTAATGTGCTTGCATCTTATAGCGTTGGCTAGCTGTTCCCCCTGGCCTCAAGTTCCTTGAAGAGTTCAAAAATCCGACCAACAGTAAGCCAGGCCGGGAGGAGCTTCTAGCATCTTTGGTTCGGTTGGGTTGAATAAAATGTCTGGGTGGTTTCAGAGATGCCTTCTCTTCAACTTTTACTTGCGATGACTGTTCATCCACTGACTCATGTGTTTTTCCTTCCGTTTCGTTGAAACCAACCAACTATATTTGTTGAAAAGTCTTCTCGAGAAACCGCGATGGCCTGCGCCAGAACGGCCGACCGTCTTTTTTCTCCAAATCCATTGGGAGGTCGGACGAGTGGGTCGTATTGGGTCCAATGTTTGATGCCCATTTGGGGTGGTGTTCATGGTATGTGTTTGCTTCGTCCTTCTTGAGAAGAAGTGCTCATTTTTCGCAGCCACTCGGGCACACTTTTGTGTCAGTAAACAACCGTTCATGAAACAAAATCATCCTCAAATACACCTTGATGGCTCTATTTTGCCACTGGACAACCGTGTGTTTGTCTGACTTTATGTGTGTGTGTGTGTTTCTGGGCATCCCCCGTTCCCAACAGCCGTTGCTTGGTCGCTTCGCTCCCTCTAATGCTCCGCGCGGTGCCACTCCTGCGCTCCGGAGCGCAGGAGAAGGTGAAGATTGCAGACGTGAATGGCATGTTGGGGTCTCCCAGAAGACGAGCCTCCGGAGCGATCAACGGCCAATGAAAAAGATCGCCGGCCGAGACCTCCCGGTCTTTTCTGGCTGATGAAAACACGACCAAACATCACCGGTCATCATTTTTAACTTTTTGGGAAATCACATCACTGGACTTGGTTATCTCGTTTTTTCAAAGCACCGGTGCGGACGGTGGTGAAGGAGACCGCATGGATCGACTACTGACCACCTGATGGATGTGATCTTGCATAGTTAGTTACCTTCAAAGAAGGATCAGCCGAACTCGACGACTGTGGCGACTGCGCTTCCCCAAATGGTCCCGACTATGGAAAAGGCTGTGTGTGGGTTGAATTTGAGGCCAGACGGGCTCTGAGTTGTGTTCAGTGATTGCTGCCCCATGGGTCCGATGGCGGCGGTGCACTGGACCTCTGGGGAAGTCCTCTTCAGCAAGGAGGAATTTGAAGGTTGAGTCAAAGAGCGGGGTGACACGATCAGAGCAGTCAAGCTGGAGCTCATGTTTCAAGGTTTCGGGTCCAGTTTTCGACTACGGCTCTTTGCTGAAGGAGATGTAGAGCTGGACGATGATGTAGAGATCGTTCCACCTTTGGACTTGAAGCTGGTCACACAGGCATTCCAGCCACCAGACCCTGACCAAGATGAGAAATTCATGGTGGCATGTGAAGAAGGTCGCAGAAATGAAGTGGAAAAATGTCTCAGGTGACCTCAAGATCGTAACACGGCAGATGGCAGATGCCTATGGATGGACTGCTTTACATGTTGCAGCGGCGAATGGCCATTTACTGATCGTCGCTGAAGCCTTTCACCATTGCGCCGGAGTAACTGCTTTGCATTTGGCCTCATAGAATGGCCACCCAGATGTGGTGCGATTGCTGCTGCAGGCTGGAGGCTGTGCTAGGGTTTGATAATGCTACAGTAAATAAGGGTTGGACTTCTTTGCACGTGGCAGTTGAGAATGGTCATTTGGAAATCGTGGACTTGCTGCTGGAGGTTGGAGCCTCGTGTGACCTGCCCACGAAGGACCATGGCTTGACTCCTTTGCATTGGTTGCTCAGAATGGTCACCCGGAAATGGCTTGGTTGCTGCTGGAGGCCAGAGCCTCTTGTGACCAGGCTAGTAACGACATTGGTGCGACTCCATTGCATTTGTCTGCAAAGAACAGGCACCTGAAACTCACACGTTGGTTGCTCGAGGCTCGCGCACGCTGTGATTCAGCAACGATCCACAGTGGGCGGACCCCCTTTGCATTATGCAGCTGATAGCGGTTGCCTGGAAATGGTGTGCATGTTGCTTGAGGCCAGGGCGGAGTGGGACAGGGCTAGGACAGATGATGGCTGATGGCTCCACTCCATTGCATTTAGCTGCTGAGAATCGTAACGTGGAAGTCATGCGCGTGTTGGAGGCCGGAGCCTCTGATCAAGCCAGGAAAGACAGGATCACTCCTTTGTACTACTCTGCGCCAATTGGCTTGGAAGCCGTGTGCTTATTGTTAGATGCTGGAGCCTGTTGTCATCACGCAACTGAAGATGTGCCAACTCCATTGCATCTGGCAGCCGAAAACCGTCACCTGGATTGAAGCCCCGTGCGAGTTGTTCAGCAAAGATGGCGGACGAACTCCTTTGCACTTCGCCGTTGAGAATGGTGACCTGAAAATGGTGCAGTTGTTGCTTGAGGCGGGAGCCTCTTGTGATCAGCCCATGGCAGACGTTGCAACTCCATTGCACTTCGCTGCTCAGAGGGGGGTCACCTGGAAGTGGCGCGCTTGTTGAGAACGGCGCCGCATGTGGCCGCAAGACACAGTGTTCCCAGAAGAGTCATTTAGAAGTGGTGCGTTTGTTGCTTTTGGGTGGGGCCGGGAGCATGTGACCATTGATGGCGCTTGAAAAGATACACCGCTTGACGCCTGCTGCATCATACACAATCGATGCATGTCATTGGGTACTGCAAAGACCTCATCTATCTCACATGGAAGGTAGGGAGATGCAGGGAGAGTCCTTTTGTCACACAGGTTCGTTGCGAGTATTTGCACATCCAAGGAAGTATATATAATATGGGTGTGCTTGAAGCAGCTTATATTTAGCTGGCGAGCCCAATGGGTCTTGGTCTTCCCGGATTTCCATTCTTCTCAGTGGTTCAACTGGGGGGTTTGCTCCTAGGTTGAAAGTGCACTTAGAGAATCTTATAGATAGGCTCCGGTACTGTACTGAGTCACGGATGCTTGATCTGCCTTGGTGTTGGTTTGGTTTCTCACAGCTCTTCTCCCAGCTTCGCAGCCGCTGAGACGTCGCAACCAAGCAAGTCAAAGCACCGCCTGACGGTGCCAGTCCCGTGGTGTGGAGTCAAAAGCCAACCCCCCCCCCCCCCCGCTCAGAACGGTCGGTCTTGACATCCCCAAGTCGTCCGAATTTGGATGACATCCTGGGGAGTGTCAGCCAACGACTCATGGCCAATGTGTGTTCCAAAATAAAGAGATATAATCATTCACTCCAATTGTTTCCTGGAACATGAAGGATTGCGATCAGGCCTTCTTGACAGTCCGTTGTTTTTCCTGGTTGAAGTTGCTTTATTCACGGCAATGCACACAACACACAGTCACATCTGCCAGTCCGGGCCGTCCCCGGCCTAGGCGTGGCTTGGTCGCCACCCAAGACATCGCGGAGAACGAGTCCATCGTCGGGGGGACCCAAAGAGCCCTTACGTGACCCGAATTCGTCGCGCCGCCGGAGAGACGTGGACGAGTCCGCCGCCTGGCTTGCCATTGGTGAATGGAGTGTGGCGTATAATCTGCGGTTGAGTGGCTTTCTTTGCCCAGACATGGTGGCCCATGTTTGAGATGGTCCATTTGCTTCGGAAAAACCTCCCCAACACTGCAGCACCCCTCCGATATCCAGCACACCCTTCTGAAACACGAGGACTGGCAGTGGTAGTTGACCTCATGGGTGATGGGAGGTTCATGGAACATGGAGGAAAACAGGTCTCTTCAGTCAAACGCTCCACCCGCTGGTGAGAGGGGAGATCAGTAGCCCAGTACGCAGCCAACATCCCAGGATGTATGGGGAAACTGGTGTTTGTAAGAGTGCAGTGACTACCCTACACACCTGTCACAACTCTTGAAAGTCAAATTGTCGAATTGAAACATTACATTATTACAATGGTGAACATATCCGGCACCATTTCATATCTATAAACTCACTGTCAAGACCCCCCCCGTGTATGTCCACGGATATACATTAGCTTTATCCATATTTATCCTGAACTTAGACTATCAGTGGAAGGGATTGGAGGGGACTCTCCGTCACTCACGCCATTTCAGATCAAGATCGACTTCTTCACCCCCAAACGGATCACCACTCTTCGTCGACCCCCCGTTTCATGGGGTTCGACTCGTCGTGCGAGATTCGACCAGGTCGAGGTCCCCCTGGGTGCCTCCATCGACATCAGCGATCCCACGACCGATGGTTTTTTCGGGGTTCCTTCGCGGTCATGTTCATTCGAAGGGGAGGGATTCGCAGCCGTTCAGAGGAAGACAAGCGGGGTTACTGTGACATGGGTCATTCGGACGAGAGGGTTTTTGGGGCAACCGAAACCGGAGGGCTTGGTTGGTCATCAGCGCCCACTGGGCCCCCTCGGTGAGGTTTGATGGCTTCGTTTGCATGCAGCAAAACCTGTGCCAAGACCAGCAGCATTCAATCAGCCTTTGAACTCTCGAAGCCCAGCTTGACCCAGCTTGACGCCAAACCAATCAGCATCCATTCTTGCTCTTTTGCTCCATGGTGCTTCTATAAATAAACTATATTTTGTATATCATATGATTGTAAACCATCTACTCGGATCTACTAGTTCATTGTTGGTAGCATATGTGCGCTTCGTTCTGACCAGCGTATGAGGATGTATCATGGACATTGTCAAGAAAGGTGGTGTTCTACAAAGCATACCATCATGATGTAGCCTTACGTTGTCATGGTATGCAATGTAGATGAGGAGGTTATGCCTGCTTAACAAATTCAAGCAGCTCAAAGTGCTCGCAAAAATAAAAATAAAAAACCAACAGAGTTTGATATTGTTTTGTCCTTTGACCAGGTTTGGGTGTGCCAGGTCTTTTCTTCATAGATTCGATAGACGACCAATCTCCGGGACATGGTCAGCATACCTGATTCCAATGATTCAAAATGCTCTCACGAGAAACTCAGGCAAGGAAAACCCTCCAAAAGCACAATGTGTGTGTGTGTGGATTGGAGTGACCAAAGCCACCTGGCAAAGAAAGCTTTCTTGGGTTTCTGATTAAGCTTTGAGAAGTAGAAGCCTTTGAGTTTCGCTGCACAGCACTGCGCAGGAATGAGAAGGATCCCAGTTTGAATGCCTTGGCACTGCTCAGGCGCAGCTCCGCACTCCTTTGCGTTTGCTTTGCTCAGCGACACATGTGTTTTTACATTCACCTGTCCCAGAATTGGTTCTCACCAGATCGACACGTGATTGGAATTCTGCACACAGGGAACAGATCGACAACATTTGCATTTGGAAAAAGAAAACAATAGAGAACCGGTCAGAAAGGTGTTACTGAACGGTGTGTTGATCCAAGATTTGGACGAAAGAGCGCCTCTTCCAGACTTGGACGCCAGGCTCTTAGAGGATCCAGTGCGGAGCACCCAGCGGGGCAGGGACGAAAAGAGCCAAAAGGATCCAAAAGGAATCCACCGGCCATCCTAACCTCCAGGCCTCCAGGTAGTTCAATCTGATGACCTGATCATACCTGATCCGCTTGCGCTTAAGATGGCACGCACACGCGAACGCAGGGTCACTCAATGCCTTGGCCTCGAATCTGACCCCCGAAGCCGACCGGACGGTCCATGAAGCAGACGGTCATGATCGTGAGCCCCTCGTGGGCCAGAAGCAGACTGAACCGGACGTACAACAAAAGTACCGGGAATCCTTTATGCCACGAAGTCTGGAAGTCTTGAGCCCCCAAAAAAACGACCAAACATGACACTGAACCAGCTGCAAAGACCGCTGACGGGACGGGGAGCGTTTTGTTCGACTCTGTTGAAGCTGCTGAAGGGGAGCGTTTTGGTTCCGGAGGTTGCGACGGGACACCATGCCAACTTGAGCCAAAAGGCAGTGAGGCTGCCTTACAGTACCATGTTAGCACCATGTGGATCCATGTGGTGAGAAGGTCCAAGCTACTTCGATCAACGGTCGGGTGTTGCTTCACAGAGGGACCAGAAACTCGTCATGCTGTGGAGAGTTGTCCACGTTTTGGGAGACTTCTCAGGGCCCTCAGGTCTTAAGTGCTTGAAACATGCCGCAAGTTCCTCTCCTCCTCTCGCCTTCCGGTGCAGTTCCACAACCCCCCCTGCTGTTTTCCCAAGGATTTGGCGCCATACGTTGAGCTCCTTCCAGGCGGTGAAAGAACATGCTTTTCAACACTCGGGTGGCTTTCGTCCTGGGTCAATTACGATGTTTGACACTCAGCGAGTTGGGTCATGTTGGGTCATTTTAAAGCTGAAGCCAACCGTATCATCAAGGAAGCTCACCGCCTGTGGACCAGAGCTCTCGCCAGGCCGCGACTCACCAGACATTCTCAGGACACGAACGAAGTCGCCGAGTTCTCCATCCGACGGCGGATAGAGCCGGCCTGGCCGACCTGTCGAGAATATGTGGGAGGGTGGTGTCCAAAAGAATCCAAATTACCTGATATGAAGAGCTTAAAGCTGAAATGTGAGAGGAATTGTCAACGGTTTTAGATTGAGCAAAGGAACCATGAAAGCCTTTTGTTGGGCTCCAAATTCGCGCGGGGTGTGAATTGGCAAACCCCGAGACCCCTCAGAAGGATTCAGAAGGCCTATGTGGGACCCAGTCAGAGGAGTGGTTTAAGGTGGTGCTAGATGGAACAATGCCAGAGACAAAGCTGCAGGATGCCTGACTTCTACAGTGAAGAGGAGCTCCAGATGCTGCCTCTTCACTTGAAGGGTCTCAAGGATGTGTGGATTGGGAGATTGTGTGTTTTGGGTCTCTTTCAGGATTGTTACGGTAAAGATTGGTTATATACATATATATATTATATATATATATAGTTGCACTCGAGCATGAAGAATTCTTTACAGGGCATGAATGTGCAAAAAGGCGGATTCAAGCATATTGAAGCCCACTAACAATGTGTTTGTCCTATCGAAGTCAAAATTCAAAATTGTAATCCTTTTGGGGGCAGAGTCTTGCAAGACTATTGTTCCGTCGGAACTGTTGGGGGTTCGCCGATCCTTTGGTCGATTTCAAGTTCTTTTTGGGGTTACGAGATTGGCAACAGAGCAGGTACTGAAATACCCAATTGTGTTCACTGAAGCACCCACACCTGCACGGATGTGCGAGGTTCGGGAAGGCTAGTAAAGCATGTTAAAGCATGTTAAAGCTACAGATTCTGTTTGAGACCTGAGTATTGGGATTTGGTGTCGACGTTTTTTTAAAGTTTTTGTTGGTGTCCCCTCTGGTACAAGGGCCCCCCAGTACAACTTCTTGGAACGTAAGACAATTGAAAGGTAGAGAAAAACATCTAGGATGCTCAAAGACTGTGTGCTCCGCATGGAAAGGTCACGTCCCGTTGGCTTCCATGCTACAAGTGAACTGCTTACTCCTCAGACAGGCTTTTCGTCTCACTTCGTTTTATATATTAATTAATATATGGTGTAATTTGATGAAATAACTACAGTAACCCGGAAACTGCCAGAATAAATCAGGACCACAATTTTCCTCATGTTTGCTTGTCCGTGAACTTGGTTGAATCGCATGGTGATTATATATATATATAACTTCTTGGAGCAACAGTGATGTTTAGACCGCATCAGCCCAAACCTCCTTCCTTCTTTTTTACAGATTTTGAAGGCTTTCCAGAGTTTCCTGTCCACTGTATACGGTTCGCCAAAGGCAATGCCCGGAGGTCATCCAAAAGACCTTGCGCCGCAGGCTGTGGGAGGGTGGGCGGCTTGGGCGACTTGGGCCTGAAATCGATCCCCATCCCTATCGCCAAAGGATCAAGTTCTCCCAGGCGACAGCACTACATCATGTTTCTCATTCTTGACTTGTTTGCGTCAGGGACGCTGTGTGCACCATGGGATGCAACTTCCTATTGGCCTAGTACAGCCACCATGTGCCCCTCGTGCTCAGGGAGCTTTGTGCCCGTCGTGCGCAAGAGCCTCTCGGCGGTAGCGGGGCACAGGCTCTGATGACCTCGCGGTGGTGGAAGAGCAATTTGATTTGGTGATTGATGATTGACTCCCTGCATAGTGGGGAAGGAACCTCAGAAAACACCAAGAACCACGGCACAAAGTTCCGGCACAAGGTTCTGCGCACTTGGACTATGTCCACCCGCATGTTCTGTTTGGGCCCGGAGAGCACCACCTCATTGTCCTCATTGTGAGGTGAAGGTCATTGATGTTAAGAACACACAAAAATAGCCTATAGTAGCCTATAGCTATATATCATATTCCAAATGATAATGTTCTTTGTATTTCTTCAGATTTCTTCGTGATTGTTTGGCACTATATATATATTATACACTATACGCATGTTATATATGTAAGTGCTACTGTACGGCATTCACACAGAAACAATTGTCCACCCAAGAAGTTGACCCAACTCAATATCCTTTCAAGGATGCTTGGAAGACCAAAAAGGAAGATGCTCAGAGGCAACCATGTCCACCCGCAATACCCACTTCGGATTTGACACTGCCGTTCAACGCTGTGATCACTGGGTTATTTCAAGCGGTCAATCTCCCTGGCGTCACACTGACTGATTTCTTGCGCCATCAAGCAGGGATTTTGGAATCACAGACTACCATTATGCTGCAATAGACTGAATAGATGCTCAAAAACCCATCGAGACCCGCTCCCATTGAAATCCTAGTAGGACTCGATCAAGAATCAAGAGTGAGTAACCACAAGCAAGTATGAATCATTGGGCATGATATATTTATGTTTTCATGTACCCTACCTAACTCTGTAGAGAACAGCATGTGAACTGTTAGCATGTTTTGTGCAAATAACAGACAAATGGATGGCGATGTGGAAAAAGTGCTCGAGAAACACAGTTTTGCCAAATGTAAATAAAAGTAAATAGTCTATTCAAAAAAAGTAACAGCGAAAGTAAGGGAACTTCCAAACCACGAAAATCAGGACAGGCCTTTGTCTTCAAGTGGTTGCTTGTGTTTCTTGAGGTGGGGTTGTGCTTCCTTCGTGTTGTACGGTCTTTGAGCCTCCTGCAGTGTGTTTTGGCGTTAGTTCATTTTGTGTCCATGGTGGCATAGGCATATGTGTAAATCCTCAGGTATGAATCTTTCAGATTCGTTCATTTCCTGTTGCCCTTGTGGCTTGCATTGTAAATGTGTCTTTGCTGCATTTTAAAAAAAAGGTGTTGCCTTCTTGGTTGCATCTATTGTTATGATTTCACCAACTTAGCAGCTAATTTCAGGATTTGCAGTCCAGTATTAGGTTGACGCCGCAAACATGATGACATATAGATGAAACCCTTCTGAAGACTTAGAAAACTAGATGAAAGCTGCTCAATAAAAGCTTTTGACACAACTTGAAATGGGCCCACAGATGGCCTTTCCACATTGGTTGGTTCATAGAGGGGGGAGACCCCCGGTCGTGTACAACCAATGGGTGTGCGAAACCAAACCGACCCCAGGTCCTCCTTGCAGGAGGGTTCTGTGAAGTGGGCGCTTTGCACCGTGGCCCAGCGTCCGGGCCCCTGTGTCGTTTCACCCAGAACTCTTTGAAACCCCAGAGATCATCACCTAATTACAAGCAAGAACAATCGAAGGTTCCTTCGTGGAGCGTTTTTCTTCGAAACGGGTTTGACACAAAACAGGAGGGACATGGAAGGGACCACGCCTGTTTCTCCCCAGCCGTCGCCTGCTAAGTGCAAATCATTTTCACTGAACCCCGGCGATGTATTTTAGAAGTTTTTCAATGGCAGATGGGTCATGTTTTGTTGGTGGAACCCTCTGGCCGGCCGCCCTGTCACCAAGGAGAAGGTTGAGACCGAACCATCCTGAACCTCAATCCACGATTCAGGAAGCCCCAGACTCACGGTTTAGGCCCAACGAACTCTGATCGACCCAGAATCAGACTTCCTCGGTGAAATTATATTCATTGAACTCCTCATGGAAGTGGAAAACCCATGGTCATCCAAGGCTCTCCTAGGGGCCATTTTCCACTTCCGTGATTATTTCAGGGACTGTAACTAATCTGTCGAAAGTTGCTTCATCTCTTTCGCCTGAACAGTAACTTTTTCTGGAAGAAGAACTCTCCTTTAACAAAAACAGACAGACAGACAGACAGACAGACATGGTGTTCATGACAGAAGCTCCTTTCGAGGGCTGTTCGCCGAATATTCCAAATGCCGAATGTGCCTTTCGGCATGACCAGGTCCTTGAACGGTAGAGAAAGGAGTCAATCGTAGATGATCCCAGGTTTGGGTATGAGATCATCTACCGTCCCGCTGTCACGATCCCATGGAACCATGAGTTTCGAAAGACCGCTGGTTTCGACCAGTTCAAGACCAACCCAGTGGCTCTGGGGGTTCCATGTGGTCTTATGTGCAGGGGCAATTCGGACCACCTGATGGGGCGCAATCTGCAGGCGGTCTGACCTGCATGGGGCAGGAGTAGGTCAGTGCCGGATGATCTAAGCCTTCTCACGAAAAGATCATGGTCGTGCGATGATGTCAGGTGCATTTTCCTTGGTCTCGCCCATCGACGGCCTGTTGCGTTTGATGCTGTGCTGGGCTCAGAGGGCCGTAGGGTTCCTTCCTGCGGGCGCGACGGCGCGCGTGTGGAAGAGGGCCACCCTACCATGTAGGAAAGAAATGGCTCTGGTGCGTGTACCCACGGATGTTGTCCGCAAGTGCGTGTACCCAGCATTGACGTTTTTTCACCCAAGTACTAGTGACCAAGTATCACCAGAAGTTAGAGTAAGCTCATTCAAGCTCCTCAGAGCAGCTACTCTTTTTACTCTGATGTTCTTTGGGTAGCTACCAATCACACCACTGGCACAGACAACACCAGAACAAATCGATTTCTGGGCGATTGCCCAAACATTTACCTTGATAAGGTCTGTGCCCTTTGTCGGTTTGATCAGAACCCGCCCAATGAAGAGGTTGTTCAATCCAATGAAGGGCGGGTCGGTCGGATCTCATTCTCCATGAGCCGTGGCCTTCAGCCAGCGGCATCGCCAGCGGCAGCGGTCTCAGGCCTGGCATCGATTTGTTCAACCACGATGCCCACGCGCACCTCGGTGATGATGGAGGCCAAATGGTGGCCCACCTCATTGGGCCATGGGTCTTGACGACCTCTCAACCCGTCAGAAGCGAGGAGTCAGGCGCGGAAATCCGGGGTCAAAGAAGTTTTTGGGGGAGGATTCCGCTCAAGAAGTATATAACTGTGTGTTGAGCATGGTTCCATGGCACACAATGTGGAAGGGTGTTGAGCAGTCCCATGACCCGACAGTTGGGTTCCATTGTTGCTGTTGGTTCCATGGCTCAACTGTTCAACAGCACATGGTCAACGGTTTGCTCAAAACAAGTGCCATGGGTCAACGGTGTGTTGAGCATGATTCCATGGCACACAATGGCCGACGGCGACAACAACGTATTACTCGGTATTACATGTTATTACTCTATGTACAGCTAAAAAATATGCATCCCGCGTGCATGTCTTGGTATTGTCAATACTGTCAGTCATTATCAATCACCAGATTTCACTGGTTAAAGTGACCAAAATAACCAGGGTACAAACCCATATATACAGAATGTAAATGAATGTATTGTATAGAATTACAGAATGTACTGATCTAGGTCCCACATCAGTGTCAGCACCTCGTTGGCCCTCAAATTCACAGGTGGAAAGAGTGCGCGTCAAACCATGGAGTGGCACCACCGCCTCCCAGGCTGCACACCATGAAAGTTCGATGGAACTTGGATGGCTACGTGGATGCCGTGTTTAAGGCCTGCGATGTTTGTCACTGGATTCCTTGAAACCTCCTTCCAGTCTTTCTGCAATCAAAGTATAATGACCAACATGAAAGCCCAAGCAGGTTCTTCCAGAGAATTAAGAACCAGAAGAAGAAGAAGTGTGGTTGCTGAGCCAGGGCTACGAACCACACAGCAACCGGTCACCGGTCACCGGAGTATGTCCAACGGACATCCTCCGCCGTTCCGCCCGTCCAGGTGATCGCAGGATCGCCCATCAAGAAAGGCGAAGAGGCGGGTGCCCGCATTCGATTCGCCCAGAGGCCCTTTTCTCCAAGCGGGACTAAACAGAAGAAACGGCTGAATAAGAATACGATATAATACGTTCTTGTTGCAAACGTCACATTCAGGTCAGTCTAGCTGCTTATGTTATGGAAACAAACGGAGACCGAGACGAAGACTAGAGAGAGAGAGAGAGAGCGCCAGACATGTCGCACACGCCACACACGACCCAACAACTCAGCACCGACGTGTCTGGCAAACGATGCGTTCCAAGCAATCGTGAACACCGAGACACAGCCGGAGAGAGCCATTCGTCGCACGAAGAGGCAAGAGAGAAGACTCAACCAACCCAGCAAATACCCGAAGGCAGCCGGAGACAAGTGGATCTGCAAGTGGAGACAAGCCCTATGATCAGCAAAAGCACTGCTTCAAAAGAGGAAGAACCCCCTTTATTGTAGGTAAACCTGTTTGGGGAACAATAACCACCAGGAAACGCACAGTGAGGGCCTGTTCAGAATTTGCTTTGTTTATTAAAGTTTCTTTATGGGTACTAAAAGTATCAGTACACAGGACAGGTGCTGGGGTGCTGGGAGCAGGCCATACAACTATGTTGGGAGCTGCCGCTGAACGGACAAGGATCGGCCCGAAGGGACGGTGTAAAAAAAAATCCTGGAAGGACACCTGAGACTAGCGCACTTGAGGAAGAGATGTGGTTTGCCTCCAGTTTCAAGACCAATGATGCTCAAAGCATCTCGAAACATCCAGAAACGATGTTTGGTAAACATGTGCGTTATCTTCCCAATCTTAGGCCAAGAGTCTGGTTCGCGCGATATGCTGGGCCAAGACCTGCTACAGCTTACAGTCGTGAAGCGAGCCTCCAACCTACTTGAGTCCTTGCTACTAGTAGCTTCTTGTTACTAGTAGTAATGGCCTCCACCCAAAAGCGGTTCCTCCACCTAATAGCATCCTTGTTTCTTTTGTTTTATGGACACATCACACATCAGAACCGTTTGCTGGGACTCGAGCAAGGACAACGGCTTCCACCAGCAAACCTTTCACCTTTGACCAGGGAGTCGGTTGCGACTGCTACCTGTTTTCAGGTCCATGGTCATTTTCGTGGTCTCACACAGCTCCTTGAACCGTTGCGAACGTGTCCTCACAGGGGGTGATCCATAAAAGAAAACCTCCACCAAAGACACCTCAGACCTCATTTTTACTGTTTAGAGCTCCAAACGCACCTTGCCGCCCTTCGTCCCAGCGGTCCAGGTCCGCATTTGCTATGGCGGCAGCCCCTTCCGTCCGGACGGCTGCGGAGGAGACTGCGTGGGCGATCTCGCTGCCTGGCTAAGACCGGGAGGGCCCTGGAGGGCCCCACTGGGGTACTTCCCGGTAAAGACTTTCGGCGTGCACGGCCGACCTGACAGAGACGAATGTGACGGGATGAAGAGCATTTTTGGGGGGTTGACTGGCACGGTGGGTCATTGATTCGAAAAGCGAAAATTTGTGCAGAACACCTTCAAGCCTTCAAGCTAAGAGCTGGATCAGCACAATACATGATTTAGATGATCTCCTTTTTCGTGCCCAAAAAAAGCTGCATCGCCTAAACAAGTGGCCAGAAAACAGTATTGTGTCCTCCAAGGCTTTGACCAATGCGCAGTACTTGATGAGGTACGGCTTTGTGGATGAAGCTTGGCTGGGTCAGGGAGTTGTGGGAGTGGTTTTAAGTGTTGGGTCTTTTGGCGTCCTGTTCACTGGCCTAACCCCTTGTCAGGTTTTGAGCCCCGGTCAGTTCTCTGGTTCGATCGTGACAGCGGGGGGTATCCATCAGTGGGATCAAATCTCAACAGCGAAGTGAAGCGAAGAATCTCATCTCAACAGCTCGACCAGCTGGTCGACAGCTGGTCGACTGCAGAAAAATTCAGCCACACTGGTCAGCACTCAGAGTTTCGATAGCTGGTGGCTGCAGAACACGTGAAAAAACACCAAGAGCCCATCAAGATGCATCAAGACAAGTCTCAGTCTTACTGTACAAGCCAGTAGGCTACTATAGGCTGCTTAGGCTACACACAAGAGAAAATCAACGCCCAGAATCTCGACGACGATCGCCCCTTTTTGACGACCACCTTGGTGCCGCGGCCGCCGGCAAACCATCTCATCCGGTCATGTTTCACTCGGTTTCAACCGGATGGCACTCAGGAGTTCCACCACTGATCCAAACGCCAAGTCTCAGATGGTTCGTGACGTTTGGTTGGAGTTGTGAATACCAAAAGATCTGCCACAGCACTGTCAGGGAGAAATCAGCTCCCTGAAAAACAGCTCCCTGGCCCAAGATTGCTCGCCTTTCCAATCCGGGGCTGTGCCTTTTCTGCTGACGAGATGGATTGCCCACAGAATCCAGTTGAACCTTTACCGAGCAAAGGGTAGCTGTTGATCTTGAGCCGCTCGATCGAAAAGCTTCGTGACCTCATGATGTCAAGCGCCTCTGATATAAGGCCTACAGCGATGTGTTTTCAAAAAACTGACGAGACCATAGACATGACCCAATAAGGGCGAGCCTCTCGAAAATGAAGCTTTACAATCCTGAGGGTGTATTATATAATCAAATGTCTACATAATCATATGTCTACATTAAAACAGATTCAAATCTTTCTGCCATCTTTGAGACATGGCACCATGTCATGAATTCAATACTAGCCGGTCTGGGTCCAGCTAGGTCCAGCTACGCCTCATCTGCCGAGGGATGCATGGGCACCACCATGGTCGATGGCAAGCGGGCGGCCCAGACGGTGGTACCCGGGTTCCGTTGGGAGAAGGTGGACAGTTGAGGCCTTTGAATGTGATACTCAATGCGTTTGATCATGGAAATGCATCCTAAGACCAACATGGACATTTGCATGTATCATCATGTATTCTAGAAGTTGCATTTGCCATACCCAGCTATACCACATGCAGAGACTTGCTCCTGTGCTTCGCTCCTGTCATCAAGCTGCTGGATCCTAAGATGGCTGACGAAGACAGTCGATCCAAGGAGGACAGAGATATGGTGGTTAGTCAGTTTGAGTAGATAGTTTCTTCCGGGGGAATAGATATGAACTGAACAGATGAAACCTTGGTTGCGAGCCTTTACCATGAGTTGCAGCCCAGTTTCATGGCCAACATCAGAATCGATCACTGCAGAATTACGCCGTGATGTCGCAGCTGCGCCGTGTTGAGATGTCGGAAGACCACCTCCCACCAACTCGATGCTTCCCAATCGACTCCAACCAACCGACTTCAGCCTCTCCGATGCTTGCGCCATGGCGCCCATTGTCCATCCACCGCGCGTGCGTGGCTGCGCCTCTGTGGCGCCTGCACCGCGGTCCCCGCGGAACCGGCTCAGCCGTCCAGTTCCACCCTCCGGGGCACGCAGCACCCGCAGAGAAGGCGGGCGAAAGGACCGACCCGAAACAACGACCCCCAACGACGTGACCCCGAATTATCCGACCGGTTCGGTCCGTTGATGCCCAGATCGGAGCAGAGAAGAAAGAAGGGATGCTCCAGGAGAGTTCGAGTTGTGAGTTGTGATGTTTCTGGATCTCCAGTTCCTTGAAGGTGCTGTCGAAGGCCCAATTCTGTTGAAGCTTCGAAGTGTGCTTCTCCTTGTTTGTGACTATGGTGATCCATCCAACAGATTGAATTACAGAACTTTCAAACCATCCTCCCAACAAGTGTGGCGCTTCGTCTTCACCGGAAGATGGCAGCGAGGTGAGCGCCTTCAGAGGCTATTTGCATCGGACGGTGGAGAAGAAGCAGCCACTGGAGATCTTGCCCTGGGGCCCCGAAGCTGTCCGAGACTCGGGCAGGGGCGCAGCTGTTGGGGGCCTGGTGCGGCGGGACTAGATGGATCCAACATAATACATTTGTTGCATTAGAGTATTGCATGGTTGTTTCTTGTTTCTTGGCCACAAAAAAGAATCCGCTAGTGTTTGCTGCTGCTGCTGCTGCTGGTGGTGGTGGTGGTGGTGGTGGTGGTGGTGTTTACATCATGGGTGACCAGCTCAACATAGGCAAGCAACAAGTTAGTCCATCTTTACACGTAGTAGGACCCTTCGATGAGTCCAAGCATCATTTTCAGCATAGGCTCCGGTCGCTGAAATCCTGAAGTTCACTTCTCTACTTCTCATTGTACATTGGGCACGATGCTCCTGGTCGGGAACATCGAGGCAAAGCGAGGCAATCCATGGCTGAACCAGGCTTCCCCTTCCCCAAAACATGGTTTTAGCACCTCTCAGCCAACCGCTCGGTTGACAAGTCTTCTTCGGCAAGGCTTTTGCATGCCAACGTCGTCGAAACTCAGGTTTGAGGTGCTTTTTTTGAACACCATGTGTTGAGCACGAAAGCCAAATGTACGGTACTGTACCGCCACCCAAAAGATGTTTTGATGGCTTGTGTTTCAGATTGTCCTGCAAGTGTTGAAGTGTTCCTTACCATATTTACCCTATCAGTAGTCAGCCAACCCTTTGAACCGTCCTGAAAGATTGGTGTTTCAAGCATGAACAGAATTGGCGCCATGGAAGTAATTGGAAAGGTTGCGGAATATACTTAATATACCTTCCATTCACCATGAAATGCGATGGGTTCTGTTTTTGTTTGAAGTGTTCTTCCGTCATCTTCGCAGCCACCGGGCCTTTTTGCCCGCTCGATCTGCGAGGAAACTCTCTGCAGCTCCTGGCTTCTGCGCCCGCCGCTGTTTGTTTCGAGGTGGAAGGAAGAAAAGGAGGGTCTGAGACTCGGGATTGCGGATAAGATGATTTTTGGCGATGATTGTTTCGATGTGGGTGGCAGCCACGCTCGTTCGCTCCAGTCATTCGAAGAAACTGAATCGCCCTTCCAGTCCGCTTGGAGTCTTGGAGTTGGTTGTGAAACCCGAAAACACATAAGCCATCACAAAACTATAGGACACTGTGAGTATCAGCCCATGCTTTGGCCTTGCAAGTGGAACAGTTCCTCGAGCTCCAAGGAGAAGGAACTGCAGTTCCACTTCAGATCTCTGGACATCTTGACCTGGGAGGATGCCTGGTTCTGTTGATTGAACGTGAAGCACCCGCAGTGTGGTTTCTTCAAGAGAGTTGTTTATTCTCCGATGTGTTTCTTATCTCATGTCAAAGAACGGCCGCCACCCCCAGACGTTTCCTGCTGTGCTGCTCGGAGACGAGTCTCTGACTGAGGACTACCTGCCCACACGGGTCATGAACTCGCGCAGCCTGGCGGTGACCGAGGAGACTTCTGCGGTGAAGCTGTCCCGGGACTTGGTCTCTGCACTGCAACTGGCGCCTGAAGGAGAGCAAGCCGTTCGGGCTTTTGGCCTTTGGGATGATGAGACAGGCATCAACGTCTTGGTGAAAGCACTGGCGATGGCGCCATCCCTCTATCCCTTCAAGAAGCTGAGATGTGTAGCGAAGCTTCTGCACGAAATAGCCTGAAAAAACGCCGTGAGAGACGTGCTGGGTTTTCTCCTGAGAGAAGTGAAGACCTCATACGCCACGGTGTGAGTGTTTGCAACCAAACAGTAGGTTTGCAGCCATGTTGGGAGAGAGTTGCAAGATGAGGAAGAAGGTCAAAGGCTCGATTCTAGAAAATGACAAGAACTTCATGCTGGATCACTTTCAATCTCCATGTCCCTCGTAGTTCCGCCAAGCCTACATACTTCTACCCTCGTTACTTTTTGGCAAATTACCTCCCACGACATACTTCAGCCCCTCCAGCTGGCTCCACTACTACTCACTGCCACCTCTCGCTCAGATTTCAGTATCACCTGAAGCTCTCTCCAACGTTGCAAGGAACGTGGTGAATCCAGTGGACGACCCTCGCAGTCGAATCTTCCTCTATCTCACCTTCGGAGCCTTTGTGGATCCGCCGTCTCTGAGCGACCGTAGCTTTGTGGCCTATCCCCCGGGCAAGGAGCCGGATCCGGCAGCGCTGAAGCGGTTCTATGCCGCAGTGCAGGATCAGATTCATCAAGGAAATCGAGTGCAAATGGACGCTTGGGGCGGACATCAAGGCTGGGCCTGGTAAGGCCTGGTGGTAAGATCAATGTATAAGAAGTGTTGTTTTGTTTGAAGAGGTCGATGCTGAAGATTCTCTTTCTTGAAATTGCTTGGAATCTAAGAGCCACAGACGCAGCACTTAAGACTGGACGACCTCTAAACGACACGACCCCGCCGCCTTTCGTTGGGTCGAAGGCGCTTTCAGCCGAAGGCCGAAAGCACACGATGTTTGCAGCATCGACTCGAATTACTGCTCACAGGAAAAAGCAAGTGTGCAGCCCATGGGCTGTGGTTGTATGTTGTGATTCAAATCTCTTTTTCATCCATGGCGGTGGTCACGAATGGAAGGAACAAAAAGTAAAAATATTCAAGGATATTCAAGGACTGACGGGACAAAAGAAGGGACAAAAGCTTCAAATGGGGTGTGTTCCATGACCAGTAACAGCCGGTAAGAGATTATCACTATGTTCGAGTTCGAGAAAGGTCGTTTGTAACCGTCCTCATCCGCTGTTGCTGGGGGTCGAATATGCCAAACACAGGGTAATCTTGTCATCTTTATCTAGGAGGCCATCGCTTCTAAGTACTCCCACCAAGAAAGTACGTCTTTGGTGCCAAGGACTGCATGGGTGCAGACGCGATCCTGCATGCGGTTCGCGCTTTGTCTCTAGTGAAGGGCTTCACAGCAGAGTTTCGAGTGGAGGTGACTGGGAAAGCCAAACCGCAAGAACAGCCACTGGGATGCTAAGAGAGGAGGTTTGTTTTTTAGCAGAGGCCTCTGCATGTGCAAAGGAGGAGTTTGTCGTGTTGTGTCGTGTTGTTCGCTAAATGCAACCAGCTAGGGGACATCACAGCAACATGCATCATCATAGCAACATGATCACACACAGCCTCATGGGCGATCACACACAGTCTATTTTGCACTGCCTGAAACTCATCGGTTAGAGTTTTCGATATGGGGCAGCTTGTTGGAATGGGGCCAGAAGGAGACGGGTGTTTTTGAACCGGAAATCTCCTTCCTCCAAATTGAAGCTGGCCTTGCCCTCACCGAATCAATCCGAATCAAGTCTGGCGTCAAGCAGGTCCTAGATTCCTAGATTGCCGTGTGCTTTGGCCTAGTAGCTCTACCGAAGGGAGAAACCACTTGATCTTATTCGTGTTATCGTTCGGGCCTGAGGCTGATGCAATGTGGCAGTGTTTCTCCAGTTTCATCCTTTGATCCCTTGGCCAACAGCCACCCATGCCATCCCATGCCCTGCCCACCACCAGACCGCACCGAAGCCCATTCCTGTGCGCCCTGCCGACGTCGCGCACACGAGGAGTGGGAGCGAGTTCCGTCCGTCCAGAAGCAAGATTCGCTTTCGTGCCTGGCGAGGGCAAACCTGGGACGATTTCAATGCGATCGACTTCGCGCAGACGAGCACCTCGGGACGGGACCGTGGCTTCGGTGCCGGATTGGTCTAAAAATCCGGGAGGAGTTTAGTTCGTTTGGAAGGAATGCGAGTGAGCCGGTGACCCCTGTCTTCTTCCAAGTGGATATAAGGTGAGTGATCGAAACGACCTCACAGTCCAATTCATTTTCATCAGGCGGCAGTACATCACTTCTTGTTTAGAGTGTTCTTGATTTTTCTAGGCCCATGTCTGCCCCTCATGGGCCCCATGCCAGGCCCAAGCAAAACTATGCCAGGCCCAAGCAAAACAAAAAAAAACAAAGTTGGAGCTGCAAATCTGTTTTTTCTTGTGATGCACTGTGCACTTAATCTCTCAAAACTCTGCAGAGCCCTCTCAAGCAGCCCACCTGCCAGGCACATCAGTCTTGAAAATGCATTGGTTGCAAACAAAGCTGAACACAAGGTGCAAATGAGAAAAGACGAGATAGACAAAGAGAGAAAGACAAATAGATAGCTAGCTAGCTAGCTAGCTAGATAGGAAGAAAGAAATAAACAAGAAAGAAAAGAAGAGATGGACAAAGAGAGGAAGACAAATAGATAGCTAGCTAGCTAGGTAGCTAGCTAGCTAGCTAGATAGGTCACCAAAACCACTTTGGCACCAACCTGCTGGATTCAGATGAGGGTTCATCCTCACTGGCTGTGTCACCATCAGGCTCTCCACCTTACCCAAAGACCCACCCCCAATCACCACCACAAAACACACCACTCAGCAAATCTTCCATACCTTAGGCAAACACTGTTCACTGAAGATGCTGGCACACCTGTAGTTGATGAGCCAGGTCCTCCCCTCATCATGCTCAGCTGTCCCAAGGACATAGGTGTATGCCATTGCATCCATGGGGGAACTGTTTGTCCCATCAGCACATGCTCAGAGGGGTGCACATAATCTGCTGGGAGTGATGATTTCCCAGGCACCCCCCTGCGCTTTGAGGATGGCATAGGTGCCAGCTTTACAAGCACCTCTGATCCCTTAATGGCAGCATGTCCCACTCCAATCCCATTTGATTCAAGTGGGTGTTCCTTGGGGGTTGTCAAGTATTTTTTCTGATTTATCAGGGCCCCACATGAATCAAGAAAGACGAAAACAGAAAGCTCACAGCTGCCCGTAGAAGACATTTGGAAGTGATTCTATGTCTATTTGAGACTGCTCCTTTGGTTTACCACTGTGCCAAGCCGACACATTCGGTTGAACTACCACAAAGATCCACAAAGCGTCCAGCAAATTCTTGGGAGGGAGTCAAAATGGACATTCACACTCCCAAGTTGAGAAGAAGTTCACACTCCAACATTCCAAAAAAACATCCAAATAGGCAAGTCAGCCACCCCTTTGCCCCTGCCACTTGCTCAGGTAAGCGGATTGCTCGAGAGCAAACGCCGATTGACAAGCTGGGCTGGGCTGTCCTGGCAGAGGTGAGGAAATCCAAGGCCAGATGTTGGTGCCGAAGTTCTTTGCGTTGTGTTTTTGTTGGACACGCCTTGCACTCCACAATACTGCAAACATCTGCACACCATGATTTAAGAATCTACATCAACAGGTATATATTTAAACACCATTCAACACCCATGTTGAGGAAGGGGGCGTGTGGGCGTGTGGTGTCACACCCAACTTGACTCCCCCAAAACTGAGTGCCGAAGTCCTGGTCCCAAACACCCTGGAATCCCGGACTTGGTCCGCAGTTCCGGTCGACTTCCGGCCAGGCAGTGGCCCTCCACTGCTTTTCGGATGAGACCAACGCGGTGGCCGTGGCCATCCGAGCCTTGGCCGCGTTGCCTCGTTTGACCAGTGGCCTGGTCGCAAGAGCGCGACGAGCGCCGCTTCGGTGCGGCCGGTGGTGGTTGCGGAGCGGCCTGGTGTTCAGGACCTGTCCTCCAAGTCCGTCAGTGGATGGACCACCCTTAACCTTGTTAGGATGGGTTTTTCCCCACTCAACTGAGGGAGTCAGTCCATGAGGAGTGATCCTCACTCGCGATCAAGACAGCGGCGGAGATCCGCGGAGCGTTGAGCGGCAGGGCGCGCGGTCCGTGCCATAGGAAGGGCCGTTTGCGAGAGGGAATGGCCAAGCAAGCGAAGGTTGTTTTTGATCAGGAGGTGAAGAGCGGGGTTCGCAGTCACCGACTGAAACGGATGAATTACAGATCCCTGGACCAGAGAAAGTCACTATTCGAGCCGATTCAATCCGATTCAATCACCTGCTTGTAGGAATAAAAAGAAACAAATTCATATGATATCCATGTCATCGTAGACCATCTAAGCCCAGCGGTTTCTGTTCGTGCCCATGGGCGATTCTGCTTTCGGAATGTATTTGTAGCGCAAAAAACAAACAGGTGAAGCACTCCCCAAAGAAAACCCCCAAATAAACTCATCCGATGATTCACTCAAAGTCGGCAAACCGCTCTTTGGAAACGGCGAACCTTCGCCCGCCTCTTCCCACGTGGCCGGCCTGTCCCAGGTGGCCGGCGCTTCTACGCCGTGCCCAGCTTCGGTCGCGCTGGAGCCGATCAGCGGCCGGTGCTGCGCTTCTACGTGCGCCGCTTCCGCGGAGCGGGCGAGGCGGACGGTGACGGTGCGGCGGATGGAGATGCCGGTGAGGCCTGAGAAATGTGAGCATCGGTTCATGTTGCAGGAGACCTTGAGGATACATCCTTGCTTGAATATACAATATTATACAGTTATTATATACATACATAATCATAAATATATATTATAATGTACGTCCTTGTTTTTTCTCAGTTTGTTTGGGCAGTTCTTGGGGGAGGATGAGGTTCTGTCCAGTAGACTTTGACGTGCAACATCATGGATTTCATGTCATGAATTTGTTGGGTGCCCAGGTTTGATTCACTGGTTGACCGTCAAGCCAGACTGCAGCTCCACAGCTTCGTGCCAGCTTCGCCGTGATGTGTTGCTGCTGGAAAAATAGCCGTGGGATTTTGGATCCATCGGAAACGGAAACTGTTTTGTCTGTTCGAAAGCACACCGTGCTGGGTAGTGAGGTAATAGATCTCGCACCGACCCTGCTAGAGAAATCCCGATCGACCTTTAGAATACACAAAAGCACTCGCAAAAATCCGGCACTTGGTCCAACAATTTCCAGATCGTTTCGGTTTTGCTTTGCCAGACTCGACATGGTCCAAATGTATCCAAATGTTGCCAGAGTGCGCTTGAGGTGGCTCGTCAAGGACGAGTCCGAAAGCATACGTGAAAGCTTAGTCGAGCACTTGGCGAATCTTGTGGGGAGCCAGGCTGAGCCAGGAGGGAGGACAATCCAAACATTGTTTCCATCTTATCTTTTGCCCATAAACCACGGTCTCTACAGATGTAGCTCCAACGACCACCTAATGGGTGGGTTTGGATGGCAGGGCATTCTGCGTTGATGTCATTCAACATGCTTAATTATATACTGTACCACGATTGAATTCAATTTTCGCGCCAAGCTTTAGCAGAAAATGGATTGGACGCCCAACTACGGCATTCAAAGGGTGTGATGGGGATCTGCATTTGTTGGACTTTGCCCTTAAGCCGCGCTTCGACGGAAAAGCCCACAACATGTGTACGAATATGATTTGGAAGATGGCAGAGTCGCAGAGGTGCATTTAGTCTCCCTATAGTTATCCATTTCTTCCTCTCTTTTTCTCTTTGCCTTTGCCCTTTTCTCTTCCTCGCTCGCTATTATCTCTCCCCTCTCTCTCTCTATCTCTGTTTTTTCTCACTCTCTTTCTCGGTGTCCATGTCAAATGTGTCTTTGGCTGAAAGGTGGTTGAATTGAAGAGCCAGCCAACATTCAAGGCGAGAAAAAACCCAGAAACAACTCTAGATCCACCACGAACTAAAAAACCAGTCAATGGATGTCAATGGCGCAGATCGAACGAGTGGCTGTGGTGAAGCCATGAGGCCAAGACCACGGTGCAGGAAGATGACGAGCTTTTGTCCAGGCGCACCGGACGGTCCGATTGGTTTTTGCAGCTGGTCTCGATGATTCAACTCAATTCTACTTTTGGTGGAGGGATGTGGAAAGGCAAGGGTCGACTTCAAGCCACCACACTCAAAAGTTCGACACTGGATTTCCGAGTGCGCACACTGCAGACAGGATAGAAACGATGTTTTACATTGTTTTACAAGAGATAGTAATAAGCCCTAAGCAAAACTCGAAGTTCACTTTGGAAGGAACGGAATTGTCATTGTTTGGATGCTCCGTATGTTGGAGGTGACGTGAAGGCCCAAATAGGCATGATGAATTGCAAAAGGCTCAGAAGCTTGATGTAGATAGTGACAGACAGTGTTCATCCTGCGGGTGTGTCCTTCGCGTTGCACCAATCTCACCAACCTATTCAACCACCTCACTTGCCTCTGGGAGGAAATCCTATCCTGTTGCCCTCTCTGACTCTTTTCCCAACAAGCACGGAAGCAGAAGACGCTTCTTTCAAAAAGCAATGCCATGTTCGACTACCTTCTACTTTCATGTCTCTCGGATGAAACTTCAACCGGCTTAATCCCAGCTTTCCCTGACTCCTTTTTCGCCCCCCAAAATGCTAAGTTTTCCGCCGTCCTTCGCAGTTCACTGCCTTTGTCAGCGCAGACGGCACTGGAGTGGCGCAGACGGCACTGGAGTGGCGGGGTTGTCACTGGTCGGAATCGTCTCAACAGACGGGGGTTTCCTCACAAAAGACCTCCGGGAGGGACTCCCTAAAAGTAGATTCACTGCAAGAAATGGCGGGCTGTGATGATTCTTCTCTTCCGGGTTGGTGCTGGGTTACTTTGGTTAGGGGAGGAGGGGTAGATTGAACAGGGATCCTACTACTGGTTCACTTTTGCAAGAGCGTGCTGGGTCGCAGACGGCTGGTTTTAGGTGAGTCTGGATGGATGCAAGTCGCAAGCACGCGTTGACTTTTGCAAAATTAAAAGATCCTCGTTTCTTTTTGTGTGCCGGTATACTAGCACATCCCAAGTTTTTGCAATTTCAGTCGATTCTTCTCGTGTTTTTGCAGGGGCTCCTTCCAGGCACAGGTTCTGGGGTGGTTTTCGATGCTGCATGTCCACTGTGAATTGCGGGAGACCTGTCAGGTCGCAAGACCTGCCACTCCACATGTGACACATGTGATCAGTGTGACGCGCGGGTGTGTCGCACTGATTTCAGTCGGTCGCACTGATTTGGATATTTGTAGATCTTTCCCATATCTGTCGCACTTCAAATATCTTTCCATTATCATGTGAAGTTGTATCTGGCAACAATCACGGAAGTGGACAACCACCTTTTGGTGTGGGAAAGTCTTCCAAGGGGTCAGAACGTCCACTTCCAGGATTGTTGGAGGGAGAGTATCTGAAATAGCCCAGAATCACTAGAGTCCATCAGGTTGACTTCCTAATAGATCCTTTGTTTGGGTTCGGACCACGCTGGCTGGCTGTATTCTTGTTCACTTTTGTTCACTTCTTCTACCTCAGTGACTGTTTGGGACGGGGGATTTGTTGTACTCGCACAGGGGACATCCCAGGTTCCGTCGGCACCTGAAAGTGGCGCTGAAAGCTCAACAGGAGGCGGACCGGTCACAGCTCCGCATCCTGCAGCGAACGCACGGTCATTCTCCCAAAACGGAGACAACGACAACGACCGTTCATTTGGAGCAGAACTCACGGCCAAGCAACAGATGTAACAGCTCGAAGCCACACAAGCGCCGTTTGGTCCGTGTTTTTTCGGGAAGATGAGGGACCCTGGGGGCCGACCCTGGGTGATGTCAAGCAGGAAAACGGGATCCGTTCCTGCCTATGAGGGGCAAGCCGATTTGGTGTGGATCTTCCAAACTCTTCCCTTGTGGATGACAAGTTAAGGGCTCAGGGCGCCAGTTCCAGATGTGTGTTTCCTGTGAAAGCCCAGCAGAGATGGGGTTGAGAAGATGTTTGGACTGCCACGAAGCTAAAAGCTTCATGAAGCTCTTATGTTTGAGATGAGCTGAGATTCACCACTCCGAGAAACCCCAACGCAAGGACGGTGGCCTCATTGGATAGTGATATCTTCCAAGTATGCTGAAGAAGATTCAGTTCTTGGCTTGATCGACTGGAATACTACTGTAGAAATAGACAACCCGCAGATAAACATAGAATCATGATAAATCCACAGATGGCGGCCACCATGGTAACAGTTTAACAACCATCAGTTGTCAGATGCTTGATTCCGCTTTACAATTACAACCCACAGATCCCTGACCAACTTTGCGACCACTCTTTTGCTGGAGAATTTGTTTTGGCGCCGAGTGGCATACAGTAATTCTTTTAATTGATGTTCTTCATGTTATCCCCACAGAGTCCATCAAGTCACCTCAATTTAACCCAGTCCGAGATCTCCCAGTCTTAAGGAACCCCATTCCACCAGATGCCCCTGTGCCAAAACTAATGTTTCAACTACTTGGGTCTGGAATCCGGAACATCGTTCACATCCAATCACCACGAAGTGACTGCGTTGGGGTGACACCACAATGACCACCATGGTGATGCTGACCGCTAGGCTGATGCCTTGGCTGCCAAGGCCGAAGCTGCTAAGAGTGAGGAGAAGCGGTTTCTCGATCCAAGAGACACGGACGATCCAAGAGACGATGTCACTTCTTAATAGCTAGGATGTGTTCCTAGCTATCTGAGTTATCTCATGGCTAGCTGGCTGGTGGAAACATGGGGCTAAAGACCGGCAGGAGCACGGTTGGCCGCCATGCTCGGTCGGCCAACATGCTCGGTCAGGAGCAAAAGCGGGCCGAGGCAGAGGCCAAAGAACAGGCGGAAAAGGAGGTCGGACGCGCAGAACTCGTGGCAAACCATGGGGGGGCCGGTTTTCCATGATCGATTCAAGTGTTGAAGAGAGGCTTGGTTGACGCATTTTGGAATACCTGACGAACACGCGTTGGTGGTGAGTTGGGGTTTTGTCCTCATCCAGAGGTTTATTGCAATCCACGAGTCGAGCCCAATGAACAAAATTGAGCAAAACGGGGCGTGAGTGTGGTGTTTTGAATGAAGGCAATTGGATGCAGTTGGTTCGGTTTGTGGTTGCAAATGATGTGAGGGACAGGTTTGCAGGCCCCCAAGCTTGCACTGGGATACTGGGGAGTGATCGTTTGGGGGTGAAGGATGCTGAATTGTTGGGACGTGGCCGGTTCGCCGGTCCAGCTGCGTTGTTGGGGCAAACGGTCATCGGTCAGTAATAGTTTGGATCTTCAATGTCCAAGCTAAACCAAGCGTCCACCTTTTTCCAAGGAGCTTGGAGAAACCAACCAACCCAACCCAATCAAACCAACAACAAAAAGCAAAAGGACAAAACAACAAAACTCACGATGGACACATAGATCATCGAAGCTAGATCAACCTGTTGTGCATTCTGATAGGTTCACCACCTGATAGGTTGTCCATGCTCGAGGACTCCAAGGCCTTCCAGTTCCGACTCGACAGGCAGAGCTCAAAGAGGCCAATGCCGCGGAAGCGCGGAAGCAGCTTCTGGAAGCGCTCGAGGACGGACGGAGGATGAGAGGGGGTGGAGGTGGGGGTGATCGGACGAGCGCCCTGCCCTGGGAAGAAACGGATTGGAGGGACTGTCCGAAGAAGGGATGTTGAAGGTCTCGAGGATGTTGGAGTGCAACACCAGTGACATACAACTGATAGACCATGATAGAACATGACAGAACAGTAATTAAAAGTTCCTGATAGAAGATGATAGAAGATGCACTGTACTGCATTAGAAATGTTTCTTTTATCTAAGGAAATGACTTCAGATATGTTTGGGAATATCCTTCTCGGCATGAGGCATGAGTAACATGCACATGCTTTTCCCATCTTCATGAGGGAATGAAAAGGTTACAACTGGGTAGACCGAGGCGCCAAGGCATTTGACGGGTTCCATTATATCAGCAGTCCCCCTTACAAAAAAGTGTTGCATAGGATAATTGTATTAATCTGAATAAGTGTAAGTGTATTTAATCCATGTCACTCGCATGGAAAGCCGACTATGTCTTCTACATGGGTGCTTGGATCGGTTTCCATCACTGCGGGTGTGAGGTGAACGAGTTCGCGTGTTCATGTTGGACAGTCTGGCAGTTCATCCCTGTTTCGGACAGCATGTCGAGAGCGGGGTCTCTCTTGTGCATTCGGTCACACGGTGGCCATTTGGTCCACTGGGTCGCCCCTGACAGGAGAAGAGTTGACAGCGAAGTCGTGCCACGGAAGACGGTGTCCGCGGGCAAGCGCTCTCGACCGCCCACGGCAAAAGGCATCAAATATGCGGTGTCCTGGAGAAGACACATTCATTCGGTCAAAGCAATCCGAAGGAGTCAACAACTCAGCTTCTGAAAGATGGGTTTCCTGAAAGGCCCACGGAATGACTGCCCCCCCGCCCCCACGCTCTCTCTCTCTCTCTCTGTCTATCTCTTCATGGGTTCTGTTTGTCCGACGTCAGTTCCTGAGTGTCCGGGCAGGCATGAGCCTGACGGGCAGTGGAGGATAACTCACAAGAAGAATCTTGACGATCTTGAAATGAGCTGACTAAGTACTGTATCTACAACACCCTTTACCTGGTGAAGCATGGTGGGGGTTCACCGCAGCATTGGCTGGCAGAACATGAATGAACACGGCTTTGTACAAGGTATATGCCGGCAAACAAGACATTTCAGAATGATGGATTAAATGGAAGAAGACCAGGAAAGCATAGGAAAGCTGCTCTCTAGTGAACTTAGAGACATGGAGACGTGGACGTCCGAATCGCTTAAATAATTGAATCCAATCCAGGGAGGAAGATGGCAGCTCTGAACAAACTCATATGGTTGGGCGTGATTGTCTAAGCGCTACGAATGAGCACATCAATGACAATATGAATTGCTGTTATGTTTGTTGATCTATACTTTGTGACATAAGCTAACAGTCCGTTCTCCCAAAGTGAAGCGCATAGTAGCAATCTATTCAGCTCGTGACTTTGTTTAGCGTCCAATGACCAGAAAACGCGTTCAGCCGACATGAAAAGTGCCATTCAAAACAACACATACCCCAAACAAAGTATCTAGTCCTGAGCTTCAAGATGCTCAAATGAATGAGGTCATTCTAATACGAAACTGTTCTCGTGTCGCACCTGGTGCCTCATGGTGACCTCGGGATCGAGGCAGATTGCGGTCGATTGACGATCTCCAGTGACGGTGACGGTACACATGGTTTTGCAGATTAGAATCGGGGGATTCTTTTGCTTTGGTTTTTGGGGGCTGAATCCCCTTCTGAGGGTGTTTTAATACTTTTTCCCAGTTCCTTGCCAGCAACTCGGACATTGGTGCTTCACAGCTCGAGTGGCAGTGGAAGGCAGATGTAAAGCCATTCTGCTACAGGCCTGTGATATTCATCAGTCTACATGAGGGAGCCAATCTCCAAACAGCGCCGGACTGTTCTTCATCTCGAAGCTGGAAGTTGCAAACCAGAGTTCTCCAGGACTGTTAGCACGCACGACTTGTAGATCAGGGACCCATGTTCGATCTGTGCTGGACAGTCAAAAACATCGCATACCAGTGGTGGTAGTCGTAGTCGTAGTCGTAGTAGTAGTCGTAGTCGTAGTAGTAGTACTAGTTGTTGTTGTTGTTGTTGTTGTTGTTGCTGTTGCTGTTGTTGTTGTAGTAGGAGTAGCAGTAGCAGAAGTAGAAGTAGTAGTAGGTAGTACAAAGGTAGTAGGTTGTAAGTAATAGTAATATGTAGTATGTAGATGTATGTAGGAAGTAGTAAGTAGGACGTAGTAAGTAGTATGTAGTGAGTAGCAAGTAGGAAGTAGTAAGGAGTAAGGAGAAAGCAGTAAGGAGCAAGCAGTAAGTAGTACTTAGTAGTGTATCCGGTTCTATACCCTTAAATGTCCAAACCCACCTCGTGTCCTCGTAATTCTAGCTAAATACTCTTTTGGCGCTCATGGACCAGTGTGAACTCTTTTGGCGAACTCAGACACTCATTCTTTGCTTGCACAAGCAGGGATGTTGCTGAACAGTCGTAAAAGAACTCGTTCAATGTGTGAATGATGCAGAGTTGTAGCATCCAGAGAGTACCTTCCCATGAAAAGAGTACCTCTAGTTCAGAGGTTGTAACAACTTTGTCAACTTTATCTTCAGCAGGTTGAGACTCCTCACCGGTGTCAACCGTGCTACTTAGGCCATGAGCGGACATCCCATGGGATGCACTTCCGGCCCGACACTCCGTCGCCACAAGACCGGGGGGAGGGACGCAGAAGAGAAAACAGATGGCTCGCTTTGGCTCACTCCACATGGCTCGCTGCGCTCCATCCATGTGAATCCACATGGCTCGCTCATGTTTCATATGTCTTTCCTGTCGCAAGAGCCGGAAAAAAGGGTTGAACGAGGTGTACTGAATGTTGACATGCCAAGTACTGCACTGGAAAAAATGATGAAAAATCCATGTTGAAACACCGCCTATGACACGCTGCAGACTCCGAGGTCAAAACTTTTGTTGCTCACCTGCGTGGTCCTCTTATCTGCCTTCATCTTCTCCGAGGAGTTGCAGTGTTGCAGCATGTTGCAGCGTTGATGTCCGATGGGTGTCTTGTGACTGACTGCTTCAGTGGGCCCCTGAAACGAAGGAACCGCATGGAAAGTTCTGCGTGGTGCGATGTTTCTGCAAAATGGGGTCATGGGTGTGGTTGGCACTCTGCTCATGAACTCTCTGAAGTCTTGGGAAGATGGGAAGAAACTACCATGGGACGACCAGCAACTCACTTGTGACTGTCTGTCACCTGTACAATGACCCCCAAGGAGAGAGACAGGGACAGGGACAAGGACAGAGGAGGTTGGCAGCTCTGTAGTGTGCTCAGGTTTGTTGAAACAAAAAAGTTAAATAACATTAATAAATAGGAATAACAACCAGGTTGGTTACTTGTTCTTTTTATTGAATGGCTCGAGAGGTTTTCTTCCTCTGGCCCCTGCGGCCTGGCCAAGCCTGCCTGCGCCTGGCCGGCGTGAGGAGCTCATCTTCGATGGAGACCTCAACTTTCAGCCGGAGGAGAGAACAACGCGGAGCCTGTAGGTCATGAGGAAGGCAGAAGAGATTCAGGGATGTGTTTCAGGAAGTAGGTAGCTTCTAAGTCTTTGTAAATGGTGTAAATACTATGTGTGTGTGTATATATATACAGTATATGGTTTGTGCGACAAGTGTTTGACCACACTCAGCACTTGCCGGTATCAACATATCCGTGTATGCAACTTTGTGGAGCACACATAGAAGAGGTAGAAGATACTATACGCAACTGTCGCCCGTTTCTCCCGTACAGTAGTACTTGGTTGCGTTTCTTCGTGCGGTCAAGACGAGATCAAGCGGCAGGAGCATTTGGAGGAGTTGGACCAGAAGTCAGGCAGGCCCTTCGAACCTGACTGACACGACCGACTGCAGGAAGAGAAGAAGAACCTGCGAGATCAATCTGTGAAGTTCTTGTCTTATCATGTCTTTTTGTCATTTGTGTGGTTTAAACTCAACAAAGAAACGGAGGGTAACTGAGTAAACTGAGACCACAATAAGGCCTTAGAATCAATGCGCACGGTCCGATATTCCCGCGGCTGCTATTATTTATGAGGCTTACGCCTGACAGCCGGGCGCCGGCCTATTTGGGTTTGGGTATGTGCAGGGCTGGGTCCTGTCTCTCTCTCTCTCTCTGTCTCTCTGTCTCTCTCTCTCTCTCTCTCGCTCTCTTTGAGACTTGGTGGGGCCTATATTGAGCAAAGTTAAGCTATCTGGTGCGCATCTTGGCCCTAGGTTGGGCCAAGTTGAGCCCATGTGGTCTATGTTGGGCACATCTTGGGCCCAAGTTGAGCCTATGTTGGGCCTAGGTCGGCCTATGTTAGGCCTATGTTGGCCTAGGTTGGGCCTATGTTGGGCCTATGTTGGCGTACGTTGGCCCCATGTTGGCCTATGTTGGCCCTATGTTGAGCCATCTTGGAGGCTATGTTGGGCATATGCTGGCTATCTTGGGCCTATGTTGGGGATATGTTAGGCAACTTATGTGCCCAACACCCACGAAATGTCGATTAAGCCTGCACGCACGGCACGCATAACCGACACCACGAGCGCCCTGTTAGGCGAAAGTCGTGGACGCCGAAGGCCACGAAACACTGCAAAAACCGATGTTTTTGAACATTTTTTGAACATCCTGCGTAAGATACACATAAATCTGTCGACCGTATTCGGGCGACACGGGGTCCAACAAAAGGGTCGGCGGCAGGGGGCGCGAGCGTATATAACCTTCGGTTACCAACCGAAGGCCTCCGGCAAGGGAACGTGCGCGTGGCCGGCGCCCGGATTGTCGTGGTCTTCTTCTCGTTTATTTTGATGGTGTTTGTTTGATCATATGGATTCGTATTGGTGTCTTTAGAGAACCTACTTGGAAGTTGAATTCCATTTGTTAATGTGTGTATGTGTGAAATATGAATAGCATCCAGCATCATACAGTTATTCTGCCCTGTCCGGGTATTTGTGATGTTTGCGGGAAAATGCGGGAAAGTTCTGGCTCTATTGCTGGAAGCCATGTCCGTAAATCCCTTGCTGCAGAATGATGAAAGTAGCGATGCAGAGTTGGACCCTGAGGCGAACCAGGATAATGATGAGGAGCCATATAAAGAGTATTTGACCGAATATTTGATTGATACTCTGAAGAGCGATGCTTATTTTATGGGCTACCTTGCGGCAAAGGCATTGATGAAGGAGCCCAGGCTTGACAAAAAGCTTGGAATACGTGGTCGTTGGCTTGGTGCCAATGAAATGTGGCAACTGTTCGTCACCTTCGTGATCCTGTTTTTCTCCATCATTGCCCAACTGGCAACTCGAGCACAACAATACTTGTATCATCAAAAATAAAAGGATTCAAAAGCTCCTTCCAAGCTTTTAGGGTCTCAGTCAAAGATCGACATGGAACCAACATGAACCAACGACTGGTAGAGGAAAATCGCCTGGAACCATTCGTCAATTTGCCGAATTCGTTCCTTGCTCTTCGAGAATTCGTTCCCAGGAGCCCTGGGTGATCTGTTTTTGTCACGGTTTTGAGTGCCACTGAGGTCATGATCTACTACATGCGAGTTGAGGACTCCCCTCTGAAGAGTGTGTTCTCGGGACGATTTTTCGAACTCCAATCTGCAAAACCAGACCACCCCGAGGAACAGATCAGCAATTGGTTGCTTTGGACGGCCCTGGCCATCTTCTTTGCACAGTGCACCGTTGAGTTTCAAAAAGCAGTGATCTTTACCAGAGCAAT